AGATAAGGAAGAGAGAGAAACAATTATATTTTATTAAGTTCATTTAGGTAAATGTTTTGTGAATTCCTTTGGAATGTATTGAGTTGTTTTTGGAATTCACAGATATGTGGATTTTTTATGGAAATCAATCTTATGGGGTGGTTACTTATGTCTTTTCGCCTTGTTTGGGAGCACTTTTGAAAAAGTCCATTTAAGATATGGACTTATCCAAAATGGACTTCTTCAAAAGTCTCCATCATTTACTTTTACAGAATGAACTTTTTGGAGAAATAACTTATTCATAAGTTCATCTTAATTTAGCACCAAATATAAATATTTATCCAAAAAGTCCATTTGAAAAGTGTTTCCAAACAAGGTCTTCGTCATTTACTTTTACAGAATGGACATTTTGGAGAAACAACTTATCCATAAATCCATTCTTAATTTAGCACCAAACATAAATATTTATCTGGACTTTTGCATCCAAAAGTCCATTTGAAAAGTGTTTCTTAAGTTATTTTTTCTTTATTGGACGCAAATCCAGCTGCTTTAACTTTTAATACAAATGGTGTTATCACACTTACTTAGGGCTAATCAGTCATACTTTTAAGCCAAAAAAATATATATATAAATTTATATTATAAAATATCATGCTTTTGTTTGTATTGTATTTTAAAATATTACATTTGAGTATGAATAAATTTATGTTTGTTTGAGAGTATGACTCGTGTTGCATTCAAATATGAAACCATTCATATTTGTTTGAAGAGTATGGCTGTCTAACCATTATACAACCTAATACAAGACTTAAAGTTACTTATTTTAAAGCAGGGGGTGATTGTTTATGAATTTAACTAGTTTTTAATTGGTGTTTTTTTAACTATAGTTAATTTTAAAAAAAGTTAGTATGATTAGTTGGTAGTGGGTATATTAAAATAATATTTAAAATAAAATAATTAAAATTGATATGATGAAAAGTAAGAGATAAATGATTTGAAGTGATGGTTACTTAAAATTATGTGAGTGGATGAATAGTGAATTAAAGTTGATGTGATGTCTAAGAATGATTGGTTGATATTATTTAATTATATTAATAATATTGGAGATAGTGAGGTTGGTTAGAGTTAAGTTAAATTTGAGTTTTGATTGTTTTTTTTTTTAATTGAGATGATAACAATCACCCTATAAGTGAGTGGCTTAAACATTAACGGATCGACCTTTCATACTTTTTTTATTTTTATTTTATTTTTTGATAAAAATGCAATGTATGCTACGTAATACTTATATTTATTTTATTTTTTAAGAATATAATATATTAATTTGAAAGTAAACAACTCTACTGAAAGTATGATAATTTTTTGGGTTAATTGCAAAAAAAAACCTGACCTTTCCTAAAGTCATTTGACACATAAGAATACATGTCACAGCTTACAAATTAATGCCACGTTGAAATCTCCACTAATATATCTTGCCCCAGTCTCCAACTCCATTCATCAGAAGAACAGAAGCAGTCGCAGCATCTGCGATTTCCTCCAAAACGGCTCTCTTCCTTCTTCATCCGAAAATTCAGGTTCACTACCTTCTTCACGAGGACTTCCTTTCGACCTCAGGCCCTTGCAATTGCTGAGCAACAAAACTCTAACAGGTATGATCTTTCTTCCCAATTTTCGAATTCCCCCAATTGGTTTTGTAAACCCTAAAATCTTTCTCCATGTTAGTTCATTTTGTTCACAATCAATCTGAATGGGCTAAAAATAATCTTTCGTTTTGTAGCCCCTCTTTTGTACTTAGTGTTTTAACCGATTCATATCTTGCTATTTGTTTGTAGTTTGTAAATTTGGTGTTGAAGTTGTTTTTATTTTCTTGCTGCTTGTTGTTGATTATTCTGGGCTCAGTAAAGTTTTTTTTCCATTTAGGGTTTTGTTGCTCGAAGATTTTAGGGAACTCGATGAAGAATCGCCAGAGGCGCGGCGTGATGAACTCGATTTGTCAGATGAAGAAGGAGAAGGAATCGGTTGGAAACTTGGAGCAACTGCGTGAAGAAAGAAGGAGAAGGAATCGCAGAGGCATGAAGTTTTCTGTTCTTCCCGTTTAAAGTCAGACCACGATTGGGATATATTATCTCTTGAGTGTGACGTGGACCCTTATGAGGACAATGTGGCACCGATTTTTATTTTTTTTTTCCACGTCAAAGTTCTGATGCCATGTAAGTTTTCCGACAAGCCACCTCAGCACTAATTGACCGGAATTATACTTCGAGACACAATTGCAAAAATTTTGAAAGGTTGGGTATTATTTTGCTAAACTGTAAAAGTTGAGTTTTTTTTGCAACTTTAGGAAAGGTCAGGTTTTTTTTGGCAATTAACCCTAATTTTTTTTTGGCACATTTTGTCAAATGTTCAACTTCAAACCCATTCCCTTGAAAGTTGAAACTAAAATTTTCAAATTAAAAACAACTTAAGAAATACTTGGAAAAGAACCCAAAATACAAAAATAACTAGGAATATAAAAAAGAACCCTAAAAGAAACTGAAACTTGGTCCACTTGTTCACAGAGCTTTAGCATGAAATGCACAGAGAACATAAGCAATAGCAAAAGGCTCTAAGTCATGAACTCTTTAGTAATATATTGGTATAAAACTCATTTATATAAATGATAGTTAAATTGAGCCCAACTATTAGAAATGGTAAAGCCCAACCCTTATTTGTTTCAACTTTCCACCAATGACCAGTCCACATATGACCAGCATAGAAAGTTAGCCCACATATAAAGCCACAAACCCTTATACAATTAATCGGATAACTATATTAAAAATGTACAATTATATATATTACTTTTTTTCATAAATATCAAATAATATAATAAAAACAAAAAACAATTACATGCAACTTTTTATTTATTCAAAAAATTATTGTTATTGGCTAATTGCAAATATTTACCATATAAATATATTTTATTCTAAAAAAATTAGAATAAAAAAATTACACGCGTTGAACAAAAATTAATAAAATAAAGCAACAAGATGACTGTCTGCAGCGACAATCGAGTCAGCTAGAGCATACTTGGATATAAAATCAATCCAAAAGATCCAATCATTTTTAACTCAACCATTTTTTTTAACTCAACTTTAACTCAACCCCACTATCATTAATTTTATCAATATAATTAAATAATATCAATCAATTATTCTTACACACAACATCAACCTTAATTCACTATCCATCAACTCACATAATTTTAACTAACCATCACATCTTCTCTCTCTTACTTTTACATCAAATTAATTTTAATTATTTTATTTTAAATATTATTTTAATTTACCCAATAACAACTAACCATACCAACTTTTTCAAATTTAACCAACCCAAACCAAAAAATCCAATCAAAACCAAATTTTTTTTATATCCAAGCATGCTCGCTTTTCAATTGTTAGCATGTCGGATTCTATACCGCGCTAATTGTAAAAAAATCCAAATACCCGAAACAATACAGGTTTGGTCGTGACTTGAATCTCAAATCAACTAGTCTTAGTCAATACCTCGAGAAAAATATTATTACACTCAAACTAAAGTGTTCTTTATTTTCTGAATTATCATAAATAGCCAGTTGTCAATTAGAAAAATGTGATCAAACACTATTTTTTTCTAGTTACATACATATGCAACCAAGTAAAAGCTAGAAATATAAATTCAATTCCTTTCCCTCCACCAATTACTCACTCAATCTTGACCTCTCGTAGCCCACCATTCACGACTAAAAAAATAGTTGTTCAATAAAAAAACTTTTGAGATTACACAAAGAAAAAAAGACCACTATGTTGGAATGAGGAAAAGCTTTAGTCCCACCAAACCAAATATTAGTCCAAGTCTTTGAGTTGACTTTGAAAAAGTATATGAGTTTGGTCTTCCTAATCAACATGCATCTAAAACCCTACATCAAATCACAATGATGATTAAGACACTAAAAAGGGGTTTTGGTGCTAATCCAATGTACTTAAGTGTGAGAGGTATGGATTAAATGGATACCTAGAAACAATATCATCCTTAAACTAATTTTAAGTTAATTGTACTAGATGAAGAATATAAAGTCTAGATGATATTAGCACAAATTATCACTACCTTATCTAAAACCCCACATCAAATTGATGATTAAGACACTAAAAAGAGGTTTCGGTGCTAATCCAATATACTTAAGTGTGAGAGGTGTAGATTAAATAGATATCTAGAAGCAATATCATCCTTAAATTATTTTTAAGTTAATTGTACTATGTATAGAATAGAAGAGTCTAGATGATATTAGCACAAATTATCACTAGTCATGTTAATTCATTAAACTTTGCAGAAATCGAAAAGAATTATGGTTCGATGCATCCAATTATTTGGATGATCAAATTACAAGAATTATTTGGGTTTCGGTTGAGAATCGATCGAAAATTGTAAAACACATTGACAAATATATCATACAAATAAAGTGGAATATAAAATTGATAACTACAATCAATTGGTGCATATATGATAATATATATATATATATAAATTAAGTTAATCGATTAATGTAAAGTACATAGACTAGAAACAAAAACCAGGATCCAGAATGGGTTAGTTAGAAAAATGTATTTTTTGTAAATAATTCAATCAAATAATTTATTTATTAGTTAAAAAAATTGTAATTTTTTTTTAATTATGCAATCAAGCCAAATAATTTTATGTCGGGTTTTATTTTACAATTTGCAAATATAACATCAAAATAATACCTTCAAATAGCATAAAATCAAATATATCATGTAAATGAAATATATCTTGTATTATTATTATTATTATTATTATTATTATTATTATTATTATTATTCAGAATGAAACAAGTCAATATGATTTGCACACATACCAAAATTTCCAAAAAGTCCCGTCTCATTTTAGGTAGACATCATATATGGTTGGTCTTACATGTCACAAATTTTTAATTTTCACTTTGAATAACAAAAAATAAAAAAAATAATAAAAAGAAAAATCAAAAGGAAAAACAAACGTAAACAGAAGTCTCTTTGCTTTCTCAAAAATAAATATGCAATATTTATTTTCATTTTCTCAGCGTCTCTTTGCTTTCTCAAAATCGATTTTCTCCATTTACATTTTTGCTCTCTTTCTATCATCAATCAATCCGTCAATCGCTCAGCTAATAAATTCTTCAGTCTGTGGATTCGAAAAGAGGAAGAAGGAAGAAGCCCACCATTAGAGAGCTGAAGCTCGAACTGCGAAGATATGGCTGTGAGATCGCTTCTGACCCTTCTTTCCCTGACCGCCGTGTCCTTATCAGTAGTCCTGCCGACGGCGCGTGGAAATTCGGAAAGTTACGCGCTCTACGCGCTTCGCCGGAGCTTATCCGACCCGGATAACGTGCTCCAGAGCTGGAATCTGAACCTCGTGAACCCCTGCACCTGGTTCCACATCACCTGCAACCAGGAGAACCGCGTAACTCGCGTGTACGTATATATTGTTTTTTGTTTGTATAAATGAGTGAAATTGTGTGCTTTTTCTAGGGTTTGGGTGAGTTAACTGAGTCTGAACGAATATTACGGAAACCCATCTGATCTTAGTTAGCTAACTTGGGGATTGTATTGTCTCACTTTTTTCTTTACCTTTTGCATTGTTGTAATTGTGAGCTCTATGCTGTGTGACTTTTGTGAATTGTGAAGGGGGCTATTTGGAATTACACTGAATTGATTATTGTTTTATCGCTCTTGTTGCTGTATGTTGATACCCTTTCAAAAAAAAAATAAAAAAATTTGTTTGCTTCAGCTTGTGAATAAAGATGTTCGGACTGTCAATTTCTAGCAGTAGAATTATCTCTTGACTTTCCTATGGCCTCCGGTTGGTCTGTTGTATGGGGTTTTCTTTGTTTGTGTTACAGGTGAGTGTGGTTTATGATCGATCATCTAATTGTCCAAATATTTTTCAGGGAATAATGGTGCTTAGATACTTTGAGATGTAGTGTAACAAATATTATCAGATTTTCTGTTTCTCTGATGGAAAAAGACCAATCAACTCACATTCTTCACATTATTAGGGGTTGAACACTTTTATTTTGTTTGATTCTTGCTGTAATTTGGTTTTGATTCTCACCGGGTTCATATTTTAACTTCCATCCTGTTTTTTTCAGTAATTGGAGCTTTCGCTTGTATGGTTTTTCATAATTGTGGACGTCAAACTTATCATTTTCTTTTTTCCCATTTTGTTAGGGACCTTGGGAACTCAAATTTATCTGGTCACCTAGTTAGCGATCTTGGAAAGCTTGAACATCTCCAATATCTGTAAGGACAATCCTCTAGTTATGCTTACAGTTTAACTCAAATATTCTTTTGTGGTACTGATATTTATTATCTTGCTGCAAAAATGGTCATTTTTATCTTGCAGGGAGCTTTACAAAAATAACATTCAAGGTTCTATTCCTGCTGAGTTTGGTAACTTAAAGAACTTAATAAGTTTGGACCTATATAACAACAATCTCACAGGAACAATACCTCCTTCATTGGGGAAGTTGAAATCTCTCGTTTTCCTGTAAGTTTGTGCTTTTGACTGTGTTATCATTTTTATAACTCGTGTTTTCCAGGTTTTATTTTGTTTAGCTTCATACACCGTGCTTAGCTTAGATTGCATATGCATATTGAGTGCCTCGTTTCATGTTTTTACCCACACTATATAGCTTTGGTAGATCATTGTTTCTAACGGAAACTGATTTTTATTTGTTTTGCTTCTGTATCCATTTTGATCTTATGCTTGCACAATCACCATATATGATTTGAGTTGCATAACTACAATTATTTCAATAATTCTTTTATCTATTTGGCAGACGTGTAAATGATAATAATCTCCACGGACCAATTCCAAGGCCTTTAACCGGTATATCTAGCTTGAAAGTTCTGTAAGTTCTCTCAAAATGCTGCTAATGCTTTCCTTATGCTATGTGTTATATATCTGGTGCAGTAAGGTCACTACTAATATATGCACTTATTTTATTTATTTTTTATTTTTTTGCAGAGATGTTTCAAATAACAACTTATGTGGTACAATTCCTACTACTGGTCCATTTGAGCACATCCCATTGAACAAGTAAGATTTGTAAAATTGTTCATTAGATATCATGTCTTTGATATATTGGTTTGTTATTCTTAAAATCTTGAAATCATGACCTTGGGCATTTGTTATATATTAAGCATTAATTATGTCACTAGTACAATACCCGTGTAGTACACGGGTACTTGTTAAAAAGCATATATTTAAACTAAATAATAATAACAACAAAAAATTGTTTTAGTTTTTATATACTTTTTGAAAAAATATATTATTATTTATATTTAAAATGACAACTTCACTTACACGACTTACCATCTTATATTATATATATATATATATATATATTTTTTTTTTTATCTCAGATAACTACTTCGATAGTTCAGTTAGTTTAAATAATTTTATTTTTTGGAATTCATATTGAAAGGTAATTTAATTAATTATAAAGATAAATAAAATTATTTATTTATTTTGTATGTATAATATAGATGTCAAATCGAAACTCATCAAGACATGATTAATTTAATATATTATATATAAAACATTAATAATAAATCAAAAAAATATTAACTTTTAAAATATATTTATAATTAAGTTAGTGAATTTGTTATAATTTTAAAAGAAAGATTGAAAAAAATTATACCTTATAAATCACATATACGATAGAAAATAGTTTTAAAACATAATTAATGCTCTTAAAATGGACCATGAATATCTAATATATTTATGGATATTCCAAGCTTCATTACTCTTGGATTGGAAATAAATTAAAATTTATTCAAGCCAAACAACAAAGCTTAAAAATTTGCCACATAGGATTCCGAAGCGTGCGAGCCTGCCACTTAGGCTCAACACATTTGAGAATTATATATAGAGGGATTTATTGGACTACTAAAAGTGGTCTACATTATTATGCTTATAAAAGCTTGGGGATTATTATTCTATTACATTCTATTTTACCTGTCTTTTAAGCTATCATGAATAGATCTGGAATAATGGATTTTGATGTTGGGTGAATGTGAAATAAGCTAATATTACGTTTTTTTTGAGTTTACAGTCCCTAGTTTCTCTTCGTAATTCCGTTCTCGATCTTTCTTTATCTCTTGTTTCGAAGGTTTATCGACTTGTTTGCTCCGTTTTGCAGCTTTGAGAATAACCCTCGGCTTGAAGGTCCCGAGCTGCTGGGGCTCGCGAGTTACGATACGAACTGCTCTTAATGAACTTTACTGGCAAACGGATATCGGACTTTGCTCCAAGTCTTGTGTGCCGAGTGGTGCTTTCTTTTCTTTCTTTTTTTTTTTCCTAAGTATGTAAAAGTTGTGCTGCTGTCTTCTGAGATGCCAACTATTGTGAAACTTGTAACAGTTTACTAATGTGAGTGAATTGGACTTGAAGTATGTAATGTATTTCAATATTTCATGTTTTGATTTTAAGTCTCCTGATTATTTATGGATTCCATCAGTCTTAAAAGGTGTAATTTACAAAAACTGTCCCTGATGAGGTTAATTATGGAAAAAAGAACACTACATTCTTGAGGGTGCTCTGGTAATTCTGAGAGGTGGATGGGTCATTCTGTAGTTAAAGCTAAAGCACTTCAAAAAACCATAAAATTTGTCCTAAAAATGAAAAACAACCCTCCAATTTTCATTGTCCTAAAAGAACCAACCCCCCTCTCTTCACTATATCTCTCTACAAATTCCTCGATTCAAGTCGGTTTTTCCTCCTCGATTTCGGGTATTTTTAGCTCCCCGTAACTCAAGAGAATCCCAAGTAAAACAGCAGTGCATATGAGTATAGGGAAGGAAGATATCAATAATGTGAAAATTAAAGGGGATGACCTGTTTGTACAGTACAATCAAGAAACACCGAAAACCCACAAGAAATGGGTGGACTGCAAACTGATCTGAAAGAGCCTCTGATTATAAAGATCACCCCTTTTCTCATGTGAACTTCATTTTTTAAGAATTCAATGGCCATTTTCTTGAAAAAAATGGTACTCCCTTCAAAATCTAACACATGAAATAGAAACCAATAAATTACCATCATTGGATCGAGTCATCAAGACACATTAGTTTGTAAACACATGAGACTTTTGAAAAAACACAAGACAAAACATAATAAGTAGGTCATTTAAGTCTACAATTTACCAGAAAGAATTATGGACTTGTTAATCTTGAGAAATGTAGACTATTATCATCTGGAAAGTAAACCAAAATCAATGGGAGCTAGCTTTGAACGACCTTATATCTATCAAGTTTTCACAAGCCAAATTTTTTAACTGAGCTAGCTTTGAACGAGCTTAAGCGAGCCAATACGAGTCTTAATCTTAATAAATATAATCGAGGATAAGTTTAAATAAGTCAAATTTTTATCTTTATAAAAATTCACCAATTTCCCCTACCCAACCCAACTGTTGGAATTCACAAATCACAATTCAACAGCAAAGCTTTCACAGCCTTCACCAAACCAAACACAGTAGGAAANNNAAAAAATCAGAGGAAGCCACTAATCAATGGAGCTATGGGGGGCGTTGACTAGCTCGATCGGCCACTACACGGGACTGTCTCCGGCGGCCTTCTTCACCATACTGGCGCTGATGTTCGTCACCTACAAGGTGGTCTGCGGCATGTTCGTCGCCGCCGATGACTACGCCGCCGTCAAGAGGGCCAACGAGTTCGTGGCCCGCGAGCCGGTTCAGATGGGCGACGTCGCCGAGGAAGACCTGAGGGCTTACGATGGGTCCGACCCGGAAAAGCCGCTGCTCATGGCTATCAAGGGACAGATCTACGACGTCTCTCGCTCTAGGTAAATTGATTGTGCTCTACCATTGTTATGTGCTAGATACTCGTTGGGGATGATTGATTAATAACCCGAGGCTTATTAATTTTGCAGATTAAAGGTTTTAATATGTGTTTCTTTGTGTTGATTACTGTTAGGAATTGAAATGGACAGAGTTTGTGTTCTTAGTTTATAATTTCTAATAATAGTGGTTCGAATTATCGTGCTTCTTTGTTGTTGTGAATGGTAATCTGCAGTTCATTGTCTAATTTGCCTGATAACTTTAGTGGAAGCACTCATTGAAGTAATTATTCAATCTAGTGTTGTTTTTGAGATTTTCGAATAACAAAGTAACAACTGTTATATTCTGGCGAATTTGCTTTGCTGGGGATTCGTCTTCTATTGATTGGAGCTGAGTTAACAACTCTAGTTTCGAATGGACCGGAGTTAAGTTCTGATCTGTGAAAAATTTTGAGCTGAATTCTGACTCAGATTATTGATGATGTTTTTGCAAGATCGTTTTTAACCTTCAGTTGCTCACAGGATTATAGTTTTAGCTTTTAACGTTTCCACTAAACCATTATTTATTTTCTTAGTATCTAATTTCCAGTTGTAGGGATTCTAGTTGTCGTTTTTCTCTATCTTTGTGAGTGGTAATCTGCAGTTCGTGGCCTGATAGCTTAAATGGAAGCACTCATTGAAGTAAGTATACAATCTACTTCTAGTGTTGCTTTGAGATTTTTGAATGACAAAGTAATTGTTACATCAGGCAATAGCTTTCGTTTCGATTGGAGCTGAGTTAAGTTCTAGTCTGTGAAAAAAAATTGAGCTGAAATCTGAAGGAGATTATTGATGATGTTCTTACAAGATAGTCTTCAACCTCCAGTTGCTTGCATGATTATATTTTTGGCTTTCAATATTTACAATAATTTGGTCTGTGAACTAAGGAACCACTGTGCAGTCTATGTGAAGTAACATTCTCTGGCTACCAAAATGTTAATTGTGTCGACTTACACTTACAGAACTTGCACGGGGCATCTCCAAAGTCCAAATCTACAATAACTTAGAAATAAAAAAAATGTAATGGCAGGAAAAAGTAATAGACGGGCATTTAGTTTCTTCTGGTTCGTGACACGCATCCCGTTTAATATGTAGTTAAGAATGACTAATCATTATTAATTGATGTTGATGACAGGATGTTCTATGGGCCTGGTGGGCCTTATGCACTGTTCGCCGGTAGGGATGCAAGCAGGGCCCTGGCCCTCATGTCATTCGACCCAAAAGACCTCACTGGGAACATTGAAGGCCTGAGTGAATCGGAATTGGAGGTTCTCCAAGACTGGGAATATAAGTTCATGGAGAAGTACGTTAAAGTCGGACAATTAATTTCTAAAGATACGCCACAGTCGAAAGAAACCGAGAATGGTGATGACAAATCACAGGAAAATTAACTGAAGGAAATGAAGTGCATTAAGATACATAGGTGACTAAAACTAAAAAAGCTTCTTCCTTTGTTGTAGTGATGTTGTGAAGGAGAAAAAGGGCAAATTTTTGAATAAATTCGAGCGCACAGCTTTTGTAGCCGTGTATAGGTCCATGAATAAAGTCTTGCATATGTATTGTTTAAATGAGTTTAATGAATTTGAGGATTTTCAGATTGTATGAAAGAATGACTGAATTAAGCTCTCTGTTCAAATTGGCATTTGAAATTTTGAATAGCCAAAAAGCTCAATACCTGTATTAGTTTAGTATTTCAATTTGTACAACTCTACAGTAAATATACTTCACTAGGGATCTAAATTCCTAACCAAAAGCCAAACCATGAATCATAAACACAACTATGAAATCTCCCGAAACACCGAAGAATACAATGAGAAAACAAGTTCATTTCCACTTTCTAAACGATCGCTTTACATGAAGATTGCAACATACATCCATCTTCAAGTAAGATATAAACATAACAAAAAATTACAGTCAACCAACAACAAATTAGACAAAAATGGAGCAAACAAGCCATGAAATCACTCCATCGACCAAAATTAGATTAGTCGAAGCCCACAATAAACCTTGTCGAAAGCTCTCAAAACATCATCAGATTAGTCGAAGCCCCCACCACAAACGGCTCCATCAAAAGCCTCGTCAAGAAGTAAAATATAACCCCCAAACTAATCGAGATAGGCAATGCCGGCAAAGCATGACGGCAAATAGCCAACAATATCAAAGTACACCCGAGTCCCGATATTATGGCGAGATAACAAGCATACACAGTCATTAAATCATACATAGCTGCCCTCCCCACAAGCACACTGTAGAAGATAAAATCTCCCATCCCAAGCTTTATCCCCCTCGATTTCACCTCTTCCATATCCACCCTTTCCTGCAAAACCCTATTATTCCCATCACCATTGTTGTTGTTAACTGTGAGCTCATTCTCGTTCGGATTTGATTCCATTCGATTTCCCATTAGAGGCGATGTTTCGACCGATTCATCATCTCTCACCTCCTCAATTTCGCCTCTGCTCGTCCGATTTTCCCCAATTGAAATCGACAAATGATCCCTTTCTTGAACCCTAATCGCGTTTTCTCTATAGGCATTCCTCAATAATTCTTGCAATTCCACACCATCACTGTTATTACCATTATTATCACTTGTTCCAACTATTGTTGCGATCAAAAGCCCTAAACTCGAATCCCGAGAGCTCGAATTCTGCCCCAAATTCGGTCTCGACTCGTAGACCAGTGCCGGAAGCTCGTCATCCCGGCTAGAAGCTAACTCGACCAGAAGCTTCAATGGCCCACCGGGCGCCAAAACTGCCGCCAGATCGTATAATGCCAAGGCCACCAGAACGACCCAAGTGGTCCACTCCGGCAGCCGGGAAAACCAGGCAGCCACGATAATCCCTAAAATGACCATATTGCCCTGCTTCACGATTATTGGGATCCCGTTGGAGAAGACGGAGATCGTGCCCAGGACGGTGAAATTGAAGAGGAGAAAGTAGAAAGTGAGGGCGTCGATGGGTATGTTGAACCTCTGGATGACGGAGATGAGGATCGAGCTGCCCATGGCGGAGAAGATCATGAAGACGGAGAATCTGGTGTAGTAGATGAGGAAATTGGTGAAGCGGTAGTAGTAGAGGAGGACGAGGAGGAACGTGACGAGGGTTATGAAGGCGACGAAGACGGCGGCGTTGAGGATGGCGCCCTCGAGCTTCTGGGAGGTGGAGTCGGAGGGGGATTCCTGGTAGACCAGGTTGGCGGCGGTGCGGAAGGTCGCCGAGGCGGCGGCGGAGGAGGAGGAGGAGGGGTTGTAGACGGAGTAGACGAGGAGGACGACGAGGAGCATGCAGATGGAGACGGGAGCCATCACGGCGATGATCTCCTGGCCGATCGTCTCTAGGATGCTCCCGGTCTCCATTTTGAGGGGGTTCCGGCGGGTGGCGGTGGACGGCGGCGGCGGATCGTGGCGGAGTTGGAAGAGTCCTTGACTGAAGTTTTTTTGCTATTGGGGCTTTGGGATTCTCCTTTTTTTCTTTTTCTCAGAAGGAATTTTTCTCTTTCAAGAGATGAAAATGGAAAATTAAATATAAAGACACCTTTTTTTTTTGTCCCTTCAAATAACAAAAATACCAATAAACCGTTAGCCAAATATGTAGAGTTTGAGTTTTTTAAAACTTGTTTAGTTGAAAAATTGAATTTAGGTCAGCTCGACTAATTAGTGTTAAAAATAAGATTATTTTATGTTATTTTTAATAAATCGACTTGTAATATTAATAGATGAGTTGAATTTGAATTCGTTTATCGGTTTGTGTAGTTATTGGAACTTGAGTTAGGCTCATTAAGAGATACTATTAGATAGATACTAATACTATCACTTCTAAAAAATATAGATACAACAAAAGTGGAAAAAACAATTGTAATAAATTGATGGTTGAAAGATTATTTAATTTAAATATAATTATAATAACTACTATGCTTTCAACAATGACATTGGAATGTAGAAGAAAAAAAAAAGATTAAATGAATAATGGATTTTAAATAGATAGAAGTTTGACTAACAAACAAATATTATTACACGAAAAAAAAAAAATATAGTATAGTGTTTTCTAGAAAATGAAAGTAATATATTAATCGTCTGCTAAACCCTCGATATCCATCTGCTTGCTTTCTCCTACCATTTTTATCCATTCAAGCTCCCTCCCTCTCTCTCACTAATGGCCACCACTGTACTAAAAGCACCACCCGGGTTTTGTGCGCCGCCGGCGGCTTTCGCCGGCGCTTCCTCCCTCAAATCTCTAAACTCTACGCGCGTTTCATTTTCACCCAACAGGCTTCCGGTGATAAGGTGTCGGATTTACAGCACGGGCTACAAGAGGAAGTCACCCATCCGCCAGGTTCCAAAATTCGTGACCTTTGCTGCGGAAGGTGAAACTGCGGAGGTCCAAACGGAAACCCAAGAGAAAGACCCGGTTCAAGGAGCCGAACCCGAAAATGAGGTACATGCTCACCAGTTGTTTGATGTGGTGTTTGTTCTGTTTTTACCTGAGAAATCCGAAAGAAGCTGAGCCAAATTGCTGTGCGGATGACATTCTTGTTGATTTTTCTGTGGCCATCACCATTTGTGTTGTTTGATGTGGTCTCTTTCCTGTTTTTGCCTGAAAATTTTGCAAATCAGCTGAATACGCGGTTCTGTACGGATGACATTCTTGTGGATTTTTCCTTGCCCACCTCCATTTATATTGATGAATGTATTCGTCTTTTATAGTTATTAGTGGGTGGGTAGTGAGCTGATTGATGCGATTGGCCAGTATTACTTTTTTTATGTGAGCTGCTGCTTGATGTGTGAGTACTGAGTATAAGTGTGAATTGTGGAGATATTATGTGGAAGAGTTGTGAATTAATTTTGAAGGTCTGATTAGTGATTACTTAACTGTTGTGACAAGCATGATTGACTGTGATATAAGAATGGATTGTAAATTGTTTACTTAGTGTGTGTGATGATGATAATGTCTACTCTTACAAATTTTGTGCTTTCCTGTAGTGGAGAAAAAGAAATGACAGGTTTTTTTATGGGGGACGCAAAAATGTGATTGACAATGGGGTCTATTGTAACAATTTCGTGTGAGTGATGAGTTTTGAAGATTGTACTGAATAAAACGAGTGCTTCATTGCAGAGTGGTTTCACTGAATTAAGACATGAAGTGAGGAAAAACATATCACCTCCAAAATTATAGGCAAAGCATTTTTATCTGGTGCTGAAAAGTTTCTTACTTGAAATTCATCTGATCAAGTTGCTTGCTGCTATGTTACTTTAGTAAACAACAAGCATGTACAGGAAATGAGAAAACGCCTTGTCTCAGTCTCATAAATATGAACTCCACTTGAGTTCCTGTATACTATCTTAGCAGAATAATGATTTTGTTTGTGTGAAACAAGAGTGTGCTATTAAAAAACACTGTATTGTAGTCTACTCCTCGGTGCTTCTTCAAGTTTCCAAGAACCAAGCTGAGGAAGGGGAAAAGATGTTTTAAATGGGTGATATTAGCAGCAATTATACCATCTTGAACATCAAATTGTGCAAAAAGAAGTAAAAAAAAAAAAAGATAAAAATTATGCATTGACGCATTAGTTTCTTTATCTCTCTCATTCTCCTGTCTGTGGGGTGAGTGATTTGTTGAGATTAATGACTTCTGTGCTCTACTTTTACTATTATCCATCACTAATTGGATCCCAACATATACTGAAAAAACATCGTGCCCTTATAAATATTTAATCTCCTCCGCTAGGTTTGTGATAAGTGATTCGAGGTTTCCATTCAAGACATCACATCTATTTAGGATTTTTTTTTTTCCTGGAGTAACTATCTTTATTTGGGGAGTTGTCAAATGTTGTGGCTCGAATTTATTAATTTACTCGATTGTTTTAGTTCTTTGAAATAAGTCAAATTCATGTCCCAATTACATTTTTTTTTTTCATATATATTCAGGTGAACAACACAGATGGTGCAGTTGACGTTGATTCTTCAAGTGAGAGTGAAGATGCAGTTCCCGAAGAACATAGCTCTGTGGTTATATCTTCTTTAAATTTGTATAAAGAAGCTCTAGCAAATAACGACGACTCGAAAATCACTGAGGTAGAATTATTTCTCAAATCCATTGAAGATGAGAAAATCGATCTCGAGAAGAAGGTGGCCCAGCTAACCGAAGAACTATCGTACGAGAAGGATCGAGTCCTTAGGATCAGTGCCGATTTTGACAATTTCCGTAAAAGGACAGAGAGGGAGCGCCTTTCGCTCGTTTCAAACGCGCGAGGAGAAGTTGTCGAGAATCTCTTGCCCGTTTTAGATAATTTCGAGAGAGCCAAAGCTCAGATCAAACTGGCAACTGAAGGGGAAGAAAAAGTTAGCAATAGTTACCAGAGCATATATAAGCAGTTTGTGGAGATTTTGGGGTCTCTTGGAGTAGTCCCTGTGGAGACAGTAGGAAAGCCATTTGATCCCATGGTAAGAATATTTAGTTTTGTTTGAATTTTTTGGTTTGGTTTGGTTAGTTTTGAAAAAAAAATGTGTGGTTGGTTGTTAGGGTATATTAAAATAATACTTAAAATAAAATAATGAAAATTGATTTGATATAAAAGTAGGAAAGTGGTAATGTGAAGTGATGGTTAGTTAAAATTATGTGAGTGGATAAATGATGTGATATGTAGAATGATTGGTTGGTATTATTTAATTATATTGATAATATTGAGGAGAGTGGGGTTGGGCTAAAATTGATTTAAATTTTGAGTATGAATTGATAATGAGTTGAAACAATTTATAAGCAAACACACCCTTAAAATCTTGTTTACAAATTTTATGTTTGTCCATTATTAGGTGGCATTTTTTGTTCGAACAATTTGTTTTTTCTAGGACAACAATATTTCTTGGAATGTTGAATCCTTACACTTTGTCCATTACAAATGGAGCTGGAAGAGTCATTGTTGACAATTCTCCTGGCATAGTGCTAATAATGGATTAGATCAAAATGGCTCAATTAAATTCTAGTGCTTCTTCTATTAGTGAAGTTTCTAGAAAAAAAAAAATATATCAAACGGCGCAATGCACCTTGGGTCGCTACGGAAACAGCCTCCTTGTATAATTACAAGGGTAAGGTCTGCGTACAACTAACCCCCCAGACCCCAATCTCTGGTCATTGGGTGAATGATCACTATCTCTGGTCATTGGGTGAATGCAGGTAAGCTCCCGACTTGGCTCACGATTCAGTCGAGTAATAGATGAACTCTTTGAAAAGATGTATAAACTTTATTCAGGTTTTACCAAGACCTGGATACGCTTTTAAGTCGAGTTAATTCTCGATTTGTTGGAAGAGCCAACTCGGTGAGTTCATTGAGGAGATATGGTAATGGCGTCTTTAATCTTACGGAAGATTTCTCTCTTTTGCCAATCATCTAATCTGATGCTCAGTTGACGAGCAATATCTTTTTTTTTTTCCCTAATGGTCTTATTTTTCTGTGGCCTAACAAGTTATGGGAGATTAACCTTAATCGATTTAGTGTTTAGCATTTTCGAACGCCATTGATTTTGTGTAATATTGTTCACTTTGCAAACAAAATTATTCCATTTGCAAACACCATTAGCTTTTGTTAGTCAATTAATTTTCCTTTCTGCTATAGTAACAATATCTCTTTTGTACAATCGAGTTTTTTAATATTTAAACCTTTTTTTTTTTCTCTGTCATGGCAAAAGCTACACGAAGCCATAATGCGTGAAGATTCAACCGAGTACGAAGATGGTGTTGTTATTGAAGAATACAGAAAAGGATTTCAACTCGGCCAAAGACTGTTACGCCCATCAATGGTCAAGGTCTCAGCTGGGCCCGGGCGTGGGCCTGCAAAGCCCGAAAATGGTGGCCCAGAAGAAACCAATGAGAACAACAATGATCAAGAGGATAGCCCGGAAACCACAACTGCCTGACTCAATCACCTTATATGAATCAATTTTGTATTGATTAAAAAAAAAAAAAACTCTTTTAGCAATTATTTTGAGAGAAATAGTAATTTATTTTTGTGGGATTTCACTTGGATTTGGATATGTTAGTGATTAGCTTGCCCATGCTTAGAGGAGATATTTTTCACGCATTAATGTAGCGAAAATTTGTACCTGGAAAAAAAGTACATTCTGATATTCGAATGGATTTTGGAAGACTTCATGTGATGCGCTTCTATTGATTTTTGAGATGCTGAAATTCATTGTTGGAAATTTGGCCCAACTTTCAGGCCCAAGGAATTCCCGGCCCATATCCCGTCTGGGCCTGGCACTCACTTACCCGGTTTTATCTGGACCATTAGATTTAGGGAATAAATCCCAACCCTCAACTACACCTATATTTATCCTATCTCTAGAAGGAGTAATGCTATGTAGTCAACTGTTGGCTCTTATGGAGCCAACAACCAATGGGACAGCTCCATGTGGGGATGTCCCACATGAGTCTAATGTGGGACAGTCCCACATGGAGTTATCTCATTGGTTGTTGGCTCCTTAGCATTATTGTCTCTAGAAGACCCCAACTCTCACTTCTCCCTCACTCTCGCTGCTGCGCCCTTTCTCTCTCTATGAGTGAAAAACCGATCTACCTCTTAATCTCTTTCGCTGTTCTTCGTGACCTTTAGAGTGTGTGAGTGTGAGTGCCACCGAGAGCTCGTCTTTGTGTAGTCCTTGTGCCGTCGCCGTCGCCTTGCTCAACCCGCCGGTCAAAGCCCTTGTGAGGGGCCTCCGGCGAATCTCTGTGCGAGAGGAGGGGCATTGCGACGGAGGACCGGGTGCGGGGCTCGTGAGGAGTTGCAGCCCAGGGGAACGGGCCGAGGAACCGGGGCTGCCGGTCTTGACTACCATCGAGCCGCGACTTACCGAGGGTGCCGGGTTCAAGGACGATCTAAGCCGGGAGACTTCGTGTCTTCATTCTCCGGTCAGATTCCGGCGGTCAAAGGGAGTTTTTTCATTCCTTTCTCTTTTTATTCCGTATTTTCAGCCCGTAGCATATTTCTTAGTGTATTTTTCCCGTTTATCATTGTTGTTACTAGAACATTAACTGTGTGTTTGCTTTCAGGCTGAAATGGGCTGTAAAAGAAGGTGCTTGGAATCAGGTAGGGATGTAAATGGGTCGGGTCGGGTACGGGTTTTGGCAAACCCAGACCCGACCCGTGTATAAATTACCCTACCCAAACCCGACCCGTTACCCGGTTAGTGATCTTCGGGTTCGGGTTGGGTTTTACCCGTCGGGTTAGCGGGTTTTCTTCGGGTAAACGGGTAACCCGAGTTCTTAAATTTTGGCTTTACACGACCCATCTCGTTTGATATGAAAAAATAAAATAAAATAATTTTACAATTAGTTATAATGTAACAAATAATTTATCAACTAAGTTTGACAATAAAAACTATAAAAAAAATATATTATTTTTGAAATAAATAATAAGATATAATTATTTAACTTTTATAGTCTATTTAATAATATAACACTTAAAAATTAAGTATTTAATTTTTTTATTGTACAATTAACAAAAAATGATAATAAAATAATAAAAATATAATAAAATTTAACCATTAATCAAAATTATAATAAATAATATAATTTTTAATATTAATAACACATGAATACTTTTATATTTATAATAAGTTACAAATATATACTTATATATATTTATATGTAAAATTCAATGTGCGGGTAAACGGGTAGGGTAATCGGGTCGGGTAACGGGTTTTTCTACTATACCCGCACCCGACCCGACCCGGGGTTCGGGTAGCATAATTCTACCCGAACCCGACCCGAAGCCCGACCATCACGGGTTTACCCGACCCGAAAATGCGGGTAACCCGCGGGTAACCCGACCCTACGGGTTTTATTGACATCTCTAGAATCAGGCCTAGACCAAAAGAGCTGTCCACGAGCCTGGTAAGACGAGCAGCATCTCCGGAATACCGAGAAGGAGCTGCACGCGGCTAGTCGAGCCAAGAGACGAGCTTCCGCTGTCGATGGCTGAAGCGATGGGTTCAGGACGGCCACACAACATTCATGAAATCTATATGTGAATATACAGTTCGACCAAAGTTGGAATATAACAAATCATATGTTTTCCGGCCTAAAGTATGAGTACATAAGGCAATTATTTCAATTTGAATATCGGTTAATTTGCATGGTGAAAGGTTTATACCACATGTTAATTTCTATTACTAATACTCAAGTTTTGAATTTTGACTTAAATCAATCAATATAAGAATCAATATTATTTAATGCGATGCCTTTTATTTCTGTGTCATTTTTACTGTTACAAGTTACAACACTCTCTTTTGGTGTGTATGGGGGAAAGAGATAATAAAAACTATAGTAAAATAATTTTAAAACGAATAATAAAAATAAAGTGATGATATTTAAATAAAATGCATTTCAGAACAAAACCATTATTTTCCAGGTGCTTCAAACAAGAAAAAAAAATAAAAACACAATTCTTACAATAATATAGAAAAAAGAGAGAAGAAAATGAATTCCTTTGTAAATAAAGATTTGTAAGAGGTTGTTTGTTTATAAAATTTTTTAATTCATACTAAAAATTTAACTCAATTTCACTATCATCAGTATTATTAATATAATTAAATAATATCAATAAATCATTCTTATACATCACATCAACTTTATTCATTATTTATCCATTCACATAATTTTAACTAATTACCATTTTACATCATCTTTCTCCTACTTTTATATTAAATTAATATTAATTATTTTATTTTAATATAAATTCAAAATTTCAATTGTAACTATATCACTTTTATTAAAATCAACCCTAATTAACCAAAAAAAACTCTTGTATATGATCATTTCATTAGACTCAATCATGAACCAAGACAAAAGAAAAAGAGAGGGGAAAAGAATGACGACAGGTGACAGAAGTGTAAAGAAATGATAAACCAAAATTGGAAACGATGAGTGGATAAGGCCGCCAATAAAGCTTGTTTGAAAATACTTTTTCAAATTGACTTTTAGATACAAAAATCAATTTGAATAAATATTTCTGTTTGGTGTTAAATTAAGAATAGACTTATGGATAAGTTGTTTCTCTAAAATGTTCATTCTGTAAAAATAAATGATGGAGACTTTTGGAGAAGTCTATTTTAAATAAGTCCATATCTTAAATGGACTTTTTAGAAGTGCTCCCAAACAATCACATAATCGTTAGACGGTTATAGTTTTTCTAAAATATGTTCAAACCTCCATACATGAGGATATAAAAAAAATATATAAATTTTTGCGTAAGGCCACATATTTGAAATATAAAAAAATATAAAAAATGAATTGCATGACTCATCGTATTTATGTTACAAACAAATACATATTTTTGCTAGAAAATACCATATTTTGATATTTTTGAAAATATTTAATTTTACTGTGTTAAATGATTGTTATTTCCGNCTTTTATTTGAAAATATGTATGTATTAAAAGGTATAAGTGTGTAGCCTTTTAAAAATAAATAAATAAAAGTAGGATATTTATCACATAATCACGCATTTAAAAAAAATAAAAGATGAAAAACAACGAGAACAAAACAAAATCCGCCTCGTCTTGTTTTATTCAATTCTAATTCGCACTCTTTCCAAGAAAGCGCCAATCCCACCCCAAACTAAAAGGTGATGGTGAACCTGTCTTTGCATTATTTATCAGTCTCTCCAATCATCAAAGAAAACCAGAAGAAAAAACAGAGGGAAAAAAAAAGACCAGAAATCAGTAGATGGAAGGTGATTCTAAAGAAAGGCTTTTGATTGCAGGTGAATCTGAAAGCCAAGGTCCGATTAAAGGGGAGAATTTGAAGGGCAAAATATGGGCAGAGAACAAGAAAATGTGGGTTGTGGCCGGGCCGGCTGTTTTCACCCGGTTTTCGACGTTCGGCATAAACGTTATCAGCCAAGCATTTGTGGGTCATATTGGTGCCACTGAGCTTGCTGCTTATGCTCTGGTTTTCACTCTCATCACGAGATTTGCAAATGGGTTGCTGGTAAAATTGCTTGTTGCTCTTTTTTTTTTTTTTTTTTTTAATGATTCTTGCGTGGGTTTTGTGTTGTTTTTTCGAATAAAGATTCGAACTTTTTGTTTGAATGATTGCAGAAAATCATCAAGGTGTCGCCTTTATGGGGTTTTCGGATCAACCCCTGTTTTTCTTTTAGTTTTTCTGAAGTATAAGTTCACAAATTTGCACATGTTGTAGTTGGATTACGAGAAATGGTCGATTATTACTGTTTCTATGTTTTACTCTTTGCAAATGGGTCGCTGGTAAAACTGCTTGTTGCTTTCTCTTGATGTTGTTTTTTTACGATTCTTGCTTGAGTTTTGCGATTTTTTGTAGAATTAAGATTCCATCTTTTCGTTCGTATGATTGAAGAAAATCATCAGATATCACCTTTCTATTGTTTTTAGACCAACCCAGATTTTCTTTTTGTTTTTTGAAATATCCCATTTTTTGCCTGTCTGAAGAAAGCTCACAAATTTGCTCATGTTAGTAGTTAAATTCTGATAAATAGTTGATTTGTACTGTATGTTTCACTCTTGACTCTCCTCACTAGATTTGCAAACGGGTTGCTAGTAAAATGGTTTTTCTTTTATTCTTTTCACGATTCTCGCGTGTTTTTCGTGCTCTTGTCGAATCAAGATTCCAACTTTTTGTTCATATGATTGCAGAAAATCATCACATATCACCTTTCTGTAATTTTTAGCTCAACCCCAGATTTTCATTTTTGCCTGTCTGAAAAAAAGTTCACAACTTTTGCACATATTACAGTTGGATTCTAACTTCTAACTTCCTACCAATACTTGGGTTATGAAGAAATTGTTATGTTTTACTCTTTTCTACATTTCAAACTCGTAGCTAGGAGTAGCCAGCGGGCTCGAAACACTATGCGGCCAAGCCTACGGAGCTCGACAGTACCACATGCTCGGCATATACCTCCAAAGATCTTGGATTTGCCTAATCACAACCGCAACTTTACTCCTACCAGTCTACATTTTCGCGGGCCCTATCCTAAAAGCTCTCGGACAAGACGAGTCTATTGCTGACGTGGCGGGAAGAATCGGGTTGTGGTTCATACCCGTTATCTACGCGTTTGTCGTGTCCTTCAGCTGCCAGATGTATCTGCAGGCACAGAGCAAGAACATGATCATCAGTTATTTGGCGGCCCTTTCGCTTTCGATACACGTTTTCTTGTCGTGGCTTTTGACTGTCCAATACAAGTTCGGCATAACGGGAGCTATGGTCTCGACTATTCTCGCGTATTGGATTCCGAACGTGGGACAGCTGGCGTTTATCTTTTGCGGAGGGTGCCGCGAGACGTGGAAAGGCTTTTCGACTCTTGCGTTTAGGGATCTTTGGCCGGTTGTTAAGCTTTCTTTGTCGTCCGGGGCCATGATTTGGTGAGGTTGAGGATCTTTGTTGATTGATTAAGGTTATGTTTGGTAAACTTGATAGCTTATAAGTGATTTCGAGCTTATAGATTATAGTTTATGACTTATAGTTGAAAAGCTAGCTTATACGATAAAAGTGTTTGGTAAAATTAGCTGATAAGCTAACTGAAATAAATACGAGCTTATTTGAATATCTACCCAAGAAGCTCATTAAATAAGCTCGAGTTTTTTTTAAAAAAGCTCGTCATACCAAATGAAGCTTGTTTGAATACAGGAAGCTTATAACCTATCCAAATACGTTATAAGCTAGCTTATTTAGTTACCAAACATAACCTAAAAGATGTGAGATTTATTTCAGTAAATCTGTTGATTAATCTG